TATCATACCTAAAAAAGTTGGCAATAATTCTCGGTATTGTGCAATATACCGCAAGTGTCTAAAAAATGTCTTCTTATAGCTGGTTTGTTTGAATGAGGATCAATCAGTGTTTTTAAAAAGATGAGACAGAAGAAAATAGATTAGGAAACATCCAAGGGCGTCATATGTAATAAGGCTCATTACTGTTTTATGAAACTTCTTTTTGTATATGTTTGTGTCACTCATAAAATGTATTTTCTTACCATTGGTCACAGTCACAGAAGCATGACAGCCACTGGTCTAGCGATCCTCTCCTTTACTCAACAGGCTCTGGGCAGACTTCTGTGTCCAAGAACACTTTCTGCAGTTTAAGGAGGGATGTATGTACAGGAAGGAGAGCTCTGTATCTCTGCTTTTGCTGTTCCCTCTGCCTAGAACTCCGCTCACCACCATGTCTACTATTTCACTTCTTCCCCAGCCTCCAAGGGCTGAAATGTCATTCCCACCACGGCACCTTCTGTTCTCCTGCCCAGCTGTCACTTGGTTTGCCTCTTCTTCAGTGCGCTCATCACACTGCCTTATGTAATGGTATCTGTGTACAATATGTTTTATCTGCCCTCATAAATTAAGCTCATCAAGTGTAGTATGCACAACTTCTTTGCCCTGAGATATAACTTTCTCTGTGTTTTGCTTATCCTAAGCACTTAATAATTGAATAAACTGAGTTAGAAGTTTGAGACACTAGCAAGATGTTATTAAGCAGTGAAGATGTTGATGTCAAAAATCAGAACCCAAGGCAAGACTGGAGAAGAACCCAGATTCATGAGGTTTAAACTTGATCACGAAAAGCAACAACAACAATAACGGTAGCTGCATTATTTTTCAGAGCTTCCTATGTGCTTGGTACTGTAAGTACTTTACTTATTTTATCTAATAGTCTTAAAAATCCTGGGAGGATGGGATACGTATCACCAGTTTTATATATAAGGAAACCAAGCTGTGAGGTACTTTTGCAAAGTCTAGCTTCTAAGCTGTCCTTCCGAATAAGATTCTGTTCAGAGGCTATTCCATTCACTAATTTTCTAACCAACATTTGAATCAGCTTCATAGTTCAGAATAAGCTCAGGAAGAAACCAAGGATGATCAACCTGGACTTTTCCTCCACTTTTTCACAGCTTCTGGAGTCTAAACAAATCTGAGAAGAACTTGGGGAGTATGAACTAAAAAATAAGCAAACACCACTCTTTTTTCCTTTCTCTCACACACGTGTGCACACACCTTGCATGTGTTGACAACTCTTGATCCTTCAGACCTCACCCTAAGGATCCCTTCCCTGAGAACATTATCGACTCCCAGGTGAGGCATACTCTCTCACAGAAACATGTCTCTTTCCTTCAGAACCTCTGTTTCAGTGTGTAATTCATTTTGTGTGATTATTTGATTAATACCTGCCTTGCCCTCTGGAATGTAAACTCCATAACTGTAAGGACTACTCTTGCTTTAGCCCATATTTTTTCTAGCACTTAACTTGCTGCCTGGCAGATCTTAGGTGTTCAATAAACAGTGAATACATTCATGAGTGAATAAATGAACGCCTAGACAAATTTCATCAGTAGTTGCTTCATACTTCAAGAGGAAGCCTGGTACAGTAACAGAGAGAATGTTGGTTGAGGATTAAGGGTTTCAGGGATAGAAGCAATTAGAAGAGAACATCCAGTCATTCTTTTTTGTGTGTCTGTGAGGAAGATCAGCCCTGAGCTAACATCCATGCCAATCCTCCTCTTTTTGCTGAGGAAGACCGACCCTGAGCTAACATCTATTGCCAATCCTCCTCCTTTTTTTCCCTTTTTCTCCCCAAAGCCCCAGTAGATAGTTGTATGTCATAGTTGCACATCCTTCCAGCTGCCGTATGTGGGACGCCGCCTCAGCATGGCCGGACAAGCGGTGCACGCCCAGCACGCCTGGGATCCGAACCCGGGCCGCCAGTAGCGGATCGCGAGCACTTAACCGCTAAGCCACGGGGCTGGTCCCCATCCATTCATTCTTGCCACTATCTCTACCAGCCGTGTTGCATCTGTAACCACATACCTTGTCTTTCCTTCTGTGACAATGGCTGGACTGTCTGGATTCTTAGCTCAAGTTAACCCCTTCACTTTTGTCCTGGATCCCATCCCCTCTTGCCTACTCAACGTACTCTTTCTCTCTTTCATGCGTTATTGACTTTTCACTCCCTACTGCAGCACCGACTGATAGAATTTTCTAAGATGATGGAAATATTCTCTGTCTGTGCTGACCAATATGGTAGCTACTAGCCACTTGTGGCTACTGAGTCCTTGAAATGTGGTTAATCACTGAGGAACTGAATTTTAAAATTTTTATTTAATTTCAATTAAATGGTTACATATGGATAATTCCCATCAGCATCAAACATGCTGTTATTTCCTCCATCTTAAAAAAAAATGAACCTCCCTTGACTTCACACTCCCTTCTAGATACCACCCCCCTCTCTGCTCCCTCTTTCAAAGCATATTTTACAAAAGGTTTGTCTAGACTCCCCGTCTCCACTTCCCCTTCCTTCACGTACTCTTAACCTCACTTCAATCAATCTTTTGACTCAACATGTCACCAAAATGGCTCCTCTCAGCATTACCAGGGACCTCTGAGTTGCCAAATCCTATGATCAACGTTGAGTGCTCATTCTACCAGAACTAACAGTAGCATTTTACGTGGTTGATAACTCCCTCTTTGAAATACTTCTCTCTCAGTTTTTTGGGACCTCACTACTCTCTCTCTTGATTCTCCTCCTACCTCTCTGGCTGTTCTTTCTCAGTTTCGTGTGTTGGATTTTCATCTTCGCATCTTCTAAATTTTGAAATGTCACAAGCCTCAGTCTTTGGACTTCACCTTTTGTCTATCTGTATTTTCTTCCTAGATGCTTTCATCCATTTCCATAGCTTCAAATACTGCGTATAGACTGCAGAATCCCAAACATATCTCTAGGTCCGAACTCCGGACTTGTATGTCATATAGCTAACCCCCTACTCAAACTTGACATTCGGAGGTCTAACAGGTACCTCAACCTTCATATTCCAGAAGATCACTTTTGATTTCACCTTTTAAATCTGCTTTTCCCTCAGTCTTCCCCATTTTACCAGTGCTATCTCCATCTTTCTGATTGCTCAGGCCAAAAATTTTGGAGTCATCTTTGACTTACACCCCGTAGTCAATCCACAGTAAATCCTCTTGGTTCTACTCTTTAAATAAAATGAGCACCTGGCCTTTTCTCATTCTCTCACCTGCCGCCCATCTAGTCCAAGCCACTACCATGTCTAGTCTGGATTATTGCAAGAGCCTCCTCACTGGTCTCCCTACTTTCATTTACCCTCATTCCCTTAAAATCACCTCTCCAAAGAGCAACCAGAGTGATCCTCTAAAAAGGCAAATAGCTTCATATCACAGCAACACACCAAACTTTCTAATGGTTTCCCATCTCATTGTGAATAAAAAGCAAAGTCCCTACAGTAGTCTATAATACCCTGCATGATCTGACACCCAACTACCTCAGGCCTCCAGGCCCATGGTCCAGTCTCTTCCGCCCCGCCTTGCTCTCTCCTCTCATCCACACAGTCCTCCTTACTGTTCTTTGAAGGGGCTAAACATGCCACCCTCAATCCCTTTACCCTGATTTATTTTACATCACAGTTCTTATCTGTCTTCCCAAACTAAACTTAGGAGCATTTAATCAGAGTCCAGACTTGGTGTGTTTTGTTCTCTGCTGTATCCCCATCTCAAATAGTGCCTGGCACTGAATATGTGTTCAATAAATCAGTGTTGAATGGATGAATAAATAAATAACTTGTCTAATGCCTAGTAGTATAACCCAGAGTAAATCATTTAGCCTTTTTTGGATCTAATTTTCCTCCTCTCTCAAAGGAAAAATGAGCTAGATAGTCTCAAAATACACACTTATTCAGTAAATATTCAATGTAACTTTCTGTGTGCCTAGCACTGGGTGGGTGCTTTGGCTACAAGAAAAGGTCACAGTCCCTGCTCTCAGGGAGCTCGATGACCAGAGAGATAAACAGCCAAACGGGAAATTACCACGGAGGGCTTCCAGGGGAAACTTCTGAGCGTTCACCCGGGAATGGGTGGGATACAGTTGGGTGAAGAGGGAGTGGAAGCCTGTTCCTTACTTTCCACGTGTGCACAGGGAACTCTCCCAGACTGTAAACCCTGCGAAAGCAAGGGCCTCCTGTTTTGTCCTCAGATTTGGCTCCAGACTCTTAATCATATCCTTATCTTACCATGGATGCTGGTGCATTTACTGAAGGAAGAGGCGGGGTGGGAATCGGGAAAGATAATGAATTCAGTTCCAGCTCTAAAACTATACGACCTTTGTTAGAATCCGTCTATTTCATAAAGCGAGGCACTGCTTATGGACTTAGGGTCGGATCTACATATTCCTTTACACGGTCCCCAGGCCAATAATCACATCATATATAGCCTTGGAGGCCCCTAGCACAGTGCAAAGGTCCTCAACGTTTTTTCTGTCCCACATTTCTGGGCTACAGCATGTTCCTATCAGGAAGCGCGGCAACTTCAGCGCTGAACAGGAAGCGCTGAACTTCAGAGGCAACATTTGCAGTCGGCAAAGAATCCTCCCCATACACCCTGGGATCTTCATAGTCGGCTCTTCGCGAGAGTTCCCAGGTGTTCTTGCTAGTTGGCCTCCCGGCAAGCCCCCACGCTAACCTGGGAGGAGTCGACCTCTTCCGACTCTACCAACTGAAAAGTGCAGGGGTGAAACGACTGAACGTACTGAGATGAAAGATGTATGACGGAAATAGAAGCTCCCTTACATAATAAACCAAGCCATAGTCTTATTTAAACACGGTAAGGGGCCCATACCTCCCCAGAGAAATAGTTATTTTCATCTCCCAAGGTAAAACAACAATTGCCTCCCCCTACATCTGGCGCGTCCGGCCTTTGGTCTCTCCCGCGCCGGGCGACCCCGCGGTCACGTGCTCCCCCTGTCCTTCTAGCCGAACGTGCATCCCGCTGTGGGGACGACCGGGCCATGGCAGCCCTGCTGAGACCTGCCTGTTGGCTCCTCCGTGCCGGGGCGGCCCCGCGCCTCCCCCTGCCCCTGCGCCTTCTCGCGGGCGGCCCGAGCCGGCCGCACGCCGCCCTCTGTCTGCCCGCCGCTCGCCCCGGGCCCGCCGCCGGGTGAGTGCCCTTGCGCTTCCTCCAGCCCGCCTGCAGCGCGGGCGTCTTCCGGGGTCGTTGACGCTGGTGAGGGCCTGGTCCTCCCTGTGTTCTCTTCACGTTGTCTTCGCCGCTCCAGGGCCAAGCTTCCCGGGGCCTCGGACCACGCTCCTCACTTAGGGATTTTCGGATGACAGGGTCGTCCTCAGAAGGTCATGGCCGCGCGCATGGCTTGCTTCCGGCTACGATCCTGCTCTCGCGGCCTGCGACTGGGTCTTCCTGCCTTCGGGCTACCGATGGCCTATGAAGCTGAGGGGGGCTTTGAAGGCTGCTGCCGGGGTCAGGTGTTACTCTTCTTAGGATTGACTGGCTTGGGTGCTGTCCCACGTGCAAGCTTTTTGGGTGGTCACTCTCCAGCTAGGGCATAGATTTCGAAAGCTTTACTTTTGGAGTAGGGGATAGGTTGTGAATTTGGGGTGAGTTAGGAATAGCTTAGAGATGGATGTTCAATTATGGTCAGTTAGGCTTGCGCCTACATTTTCTCGAATGGAGTTTTCCTCACTGTTTACGAGGGTGTGGTGTGGGTTGGGAATTGTCACAGTAGGCTCTGTAAGTGTCAATGAATGAATAAGAGAACACGTGCAAGTCACTCCGTGGGATCTGGGGATGCAAAGGCAAGCTAAATTCTCAGTGAGTGTCAAATGTGTGAATAAATGCCCTCATGGATTGAGTTTTATCAGGAATTTAGGTTTGGTATAGACTTTGGGGGAGAGTGAGAAAGAAGCCTGATGAAAGTGTTAATTTGAGTAATGTTCTTAGACCACTTGAGAAGGGGAGATGGGGCTGAGCTTTTAGAATTAGACAAAAACTAGTTTTGAAAGATTAATGTTTATAAATAAAGGTATTTTGGGAGATAGCATAAAGACTAAGAACTAAAGATCTGGAATAAGCAAGGGCGGGACTGCAGCCTTCTCTGTTTATTTGCATTATGCGTTGAATCAGTTACTTAACATCTCCAGGCCTCAGTTTCCTTAGTTACAAGATGGGAGTAATAATAGTGTTGGTCGTATTGCATGAGGTTATCTATATATAGCACTTAATGTAGGGCCAGGTATCTAGTAAGTGCTTTATTAGTTACTTTAATAGTAATAACTGTGATTACATGATCTTTGTGGACCAGCCTGGAAACCTACTTTCTGCATAACTTTATATGGAGGAAATGTTTTATGACTTCTTAACGACTTAGTTATAAATCTTTGCAATGTAGCCTACTTGTGACTTGGAGCCGGCCTAGATTTTCTCAGTAGGTCTGAACAGTTAACCTTCAGAAGTCATGCCTCTGCTTTTGCAAAACTACATCTCTTGGCTTTCAAAGAATTTGTTTTGAGAAATTTGTGCCAATTACTCTTATTTTTCTAGTCTTTATCGTCCCTGTGAGGCCAGAGGAGGGTCGATGTTATCATTACTCTGCGCTATTGCATTTGAGAAAAATGATAGAGGCAGCACAGTCTAATAGAAAGGGTATTGGTCTTGGTATTCATCAGACCTGGGTTCCATTTACTTGCTGCGTAATCTTACCTAACTTCTTTGATCCTCAGTTTCATTATCTGTAAAGTAGAGGTAACAAGGCCGTCCTTCCTTCTTTGTAAAGCTGATTTCTTGTCATTCATTGCTCTTCTTCAGAGAAGCCTTAGCGCAACGCTCAATCTAAAAAACTACCCTGTGTTAGTTTTATCATGGCACGTCTCACTTGTCTGATATTGGTCTGTTCTCTGTTTCCTTAGTAGAAAGTGAGTTGCAGGAGAGCAGAACTCAGTCTTGTTCACCACTGTGTGCTCAGCTCATAACAAGCAATAGAGAAATATTTGTTCCCGTTTCTCCTGGACTCTGAACACTCTATACAGTTTCCTGTCCTACAGCCTATAAGCATGCCCAGCTCTTTCCCACCTGAAAAAGAAAACCTTTCCCGGGACTCTCAATTTACTCTAGGTGCTTCTCAGTCTCTCTTCCTTGTCTGTACTCCTGTCTCCTTCATTTCCTCGCTTGACATTCACTCTTCCACCCACTGCAATCACATCACTGGCAAAAGCCATCGTTGTTTTATTTATTAATTTTTTATTGTATATTTTTAAATTATGAAACTCATGTGCCTTGAGGAACAATTGCAAAATACAGGGGCAGAGCAGTAAGTTAAAAATCCCCCTTAATTCTATCATCTGGAGAGAGCCATTGATATATGTATATATATATCAATTAGGAGGATATATATAGTCTTCTAATCATTTATGTATGTGTGAGATGTAAGTTTATTTCGTTTAGTTTTTCCAAGGGACCTCTTAATTACCACTTTTAAGGCCTTGATCTCTGGCATATTACTGTCCCAAGTTTCCCCCTTCATGAGACCCTTTTCTTGGTATTGATGACACTACTCTTAGTTTTCTTCTCTTTTGGTTTTTCTCGCTTGCTTTGTTGCTTACTTTTTCCTGTGTTCCTCTCTTAAATACTGATGTCCTTGGGTGTTTTGTCCTTAGTCCTTTTTTGTCACTTTTTCATTCCCGGGGGGCACCTCTATTCATTTGCAGGGCATCAGCTCCTACCTACCTGTCTGATGATGGCATTATTTCTTCTAGACGTCTCCACTGGTTGATCTACAGGTACTTCAAACCCATGATCTCAAATTGGACTTGTCTTCCCTCCCTAATCTGTTCCTCGTGTATTCTTTGTTTTAGTGAATGTTGCTATTTCTTTCTGCTTCGAGATTTCTCGTTTGTATTTCATTGACACCTCCCTGCCCCCATTCTTCCCCTGTGTATTAATTGCACAAATGCGTAATCCTGTTAAATCTACTTCATCTGGTATGAATTCCCTCTTCCTCCAACCCCCACATCATTCTTTAGTCTCCCTGATAATTTGATCTTGTCGTTTTCCTACTTATAATTAGACACTGGTGGCTGCCATAGTTCCAGGATAAGGTGTTTTGTGATTTGGAGCCTCACTTATGAGTTCCTTCCCAGGGCATCCTGTATTCTAGCCATACCAAACTACTACTTCAAAGTCCTCTACAGCAAGGCTTCTGAAACTATAATGAGCATAAGAATTCCCTGGAGATCTTGTTAAAATGTAGATTCTGATTTTGGGTCTAGGCAGGGGATTGAGATTCTACATTTCTAACAAGTCCCCAGGTTATAAAGGTGCTGCTGGTCTCTGGACAGCAAGGCTCTGATGGGCCATCTTGCATATCTCCTTCCCTTTGAATGTGATGTTCACTCTTGAGATGTGGCTCCCCTCCCCCTACTCAAGTGTTTCCCTTTTCTATGAAATCTTTCTTGGCTGCTTCTCCCATTGACTGCTCCTTTCTTGTGCTTTCTCTAAGATCCAGTTAAAGCATCCATTAACATGATTACATGTGGACCCACCAGCCCTCCAGACTTGGCTGTAAGTTCCTTGAAGGCAGGGACTTTGTCTTATTCTTTTTGCCTCCCCTTATGTCTGACTTTGTGGCACATAGTAGGTGTCAAATGTTTGTTGAGAAAATCTTAGACATTGAAGAAGGAATATTGTGAGATGCAAAGAAGTTTGCAAGGATACTTACCCCATTCATGTAGTGCAGTGAATCTCCACAAATTCATCCTGATCTTGATTCCAGGAATGTCCTATCTGAGAAGGACGGATGAGTATTGTTGAGTGACGTTATTAGAATTTATTAATCTGTTTTCAAAATTGAAGCACCAAAAAGTGTATACTTTTCTTTTATATTCTTTAGTCTTGCTCTTCATTTTCCCATTTTAGGACTTTTTTTCTTTTTTAAAGAAATGGTTTTCTTAAAAACCAGTTGTTACCCTATCCTCTGTGGGGAGGTTGAGAGGCAAACACTTTTGGTTTCTCACACACTTTTTTTCTCACACTTCTGGATCAGAAGCTGCTTATATGTGTCTTGTGAGAGTTTTTAGAATAATACTTGTGTGCTTCAGAGGAAGGAGAAGTTTTGAGCTAAATCACTTTGGAAGTGGACCTAGGTTGATGATTCGCTTAAAGGTGAAGATACATATTGCACTATGACAGAATGCGTGGTTTCTCCTTCTAAAGTTGGAAGGAAAGAAAACTTTCCTTTGTTTACCTCTCATTAAAAAATATTAAAGAGTCTACCTGGGTCATTTGGGGTTGTGATTCAGCCTCTGCTCCCTGTGTGTATAAGTTTTATCAATTACAGAGAGCTATGATAGGCACATGTACAACTATTGTATATGTGCTGTCCATGAGAGAGGAATATAATAGTGTGGTATTTCAGAGAGAAGAGCAGTCACATTTGTTTTGTGGTAGAGGATCACTTGGATTTAAGAGGACCCATGAGAATGAGTAGTCAGAGTGTTCCCGGGGGAAGAGAAGAGCATGAAGAGACTTGGAGGCTATACTGTTATCCTGTGTGGCTGTGTAGGGTGGGATGTGGTAGAAGTTGATACTGCAAAGGCCAGGTGATTCCTTGAAACTACCAAGGTTGGTTAGAAAGTTGTTCATTTGATGGTTGGAAGCCTTTGGAGGATTTTGAGAGGTACAGGTCTTGACAAAGTTTACAGAGACTATAGGAGAGACAGGCTGGGGATGGATAGACCAGTTAGGAACAACATTGATTCTACAGATTAGGGCTAATAGGCCTCAACTAGGTGGTGCAGAACTGAAGAAAAGATACTTCCTTTTCTTAAAAAAGAGAGAACAGGAGATTGGTGAGGATGTTAGCAGAATTAGGAAGAATAGATTTGGAGATTACAATAAACAATAGTACCTTTAGTTTAGATCTTTACCATTTTCAAGCTGTGTTTGTATGAATACATCACACATACATTTCATCTTCTGTGGGTTGATATTATTTTTTTTTTTTTAAAGATTTTATTTATTTATTTTTTCCCCCCAAAGCCCCAGTAGATAGTTGTGTGTCATAGCTGCACATCCTTCTAGTTGCTGTATGTGGGACGCGGCCTCAGCATGGCCGGAGAAGCAGCGCGTCGGTGTGAGCCCGGGATCCGAACCCGGGTCGCCAGCAGTGGAGCACGCGCACCTAACCACCAAGCCACGGGGCCGGCCCGGTGGGTTGATATTACAATTTAGGAAACTGAGGCTTAGAAGGATGAAGTAATTTATCCAGGATTTCCAGTTGGGATTCAACTGAAGATACTGTGATTCCTAGTTTTGAAGTGTTTTGAGTATGCTGTGTTGTAGGTGCTGAAGGGATTCCTTATGGACATAAAAACATTTTTTAAAAAGGTAATACATGATACATTAAAAATTTAGGAATTAAAGACTATCACAATTATGTAAGCACATGGTAAGATCTCAGAATGTAAACTCTGGAAGGGATCTTTAGAATAATTTAGTCCATTCTACTCTCACTTCATAGATGCTAAAGAGTATCTTGCTCAACATCACATCATAGGTCCCAAGCTGGTTAACTGACTCTCCATCACTTCCTGTCATAGCTGAGACAAAGGAAGAGATCCCTTTGGATGAAGGGGGCATCTGAATAGGTGGAAAGGAGGGGCATTGGTGTTTCAAGTCAAGAGAAAGGTTGCAACTGGCTTTTTTAGTCTAAAATTTTGTCTTAACATAAAGCATAAACCTGTGTTTGGGGGACTGGTTAACTGGACAAGACTTTTGGAGAGTTGAGGTCTTGCAAAATAGTTCAGGGAAAAAGTTAATTGTGACAGCTTTACAAAAGATTTTCAAAAAAATCAACAGATATTTATTGAGTACCTTCTCTAGTAAGAACTATTTGTTGAGTCCTGTTTTGTTAAGCATCTGATATTTGGTTTTTTTTTTATGTGATCTTTACAAGGTGTAGGTATTTTTCTTCAGATGAAGGAACTAATGCTTAGAAAGACCAACCTTTCTCAGAGTCACATAGCTGTTAAATAGCATAGCAGGGATTTGAATAGGCCTTTAAAATAAGTCTTGTGGTTTCTGCTAATACATTTTATTTATTTTTTATAATTTTATTTATTTATTTTTTCCCCCAAAGCCCCAGTAGATAGTTGTATGTCATAGCTGCACATCCTTCTAGTTGCTGTATGTGGGAC